CCATATATATATATATATATATATATATATATATATATATATATATATATATATATATATATACATATATATATATATATATATATATATTCTATTATACATATGCATACACACACACACACACACACACACACATATATATATGTGTGTGTGTATGTGTGTGTGTGTGTGTGTGTGTGTGTGTGTGTGTGTGTGTGTGTGTGTGTGTGTGTGTGTGTGTGTGTGTGTGTGTGTGTGTTTTCCACTGCCAACTACATATTATGATATTTTGCGCAAGAAGGGGTTCAAAATGTGTATTAACTATAAAACTTTAGTTCCTCAGCACACACGCACATACACACAGTCATCCACGTATCCACTGTAGCCCTACTACGGTTTTGCGTTCAGATTATCTATATAAAATGGTTACATGGCACATTTCTGTTTAATGAATCGGTGTTTGGCTTTGACGAAAAGAAAACAAGTCGCCTTATTAATATAAAAAAAAACATATCAAGATAATAAATGAAAACTTTGATTTGGTTCATCTACGTCACGCTTGGACTTCCCCTGACGAAAGTGAGCTCTCGTCCTCTGTCCAGTCCAAGGTGGAGTGGGCGGTCAAAGACAAGACCCCTTTTCTTGGACGCCCTCATCTCTCCTCCGGGATCATAATCATATATTTTGTACTTTATGCGCCGTATGTGGTTATGGTTATCAAGATGAGGGTGGAAAATTATCGTGTTGTATCATTCTATCGATATGTAAGCCATTGATTCTGAATACTTGAGTTTTTTTTGTATTTTATGTATTGTATATATTCTCATATGTCAGTATACCTATTTTTTGTATGTGAAATGTGAGCCCATACAGAGACTTATTAAGATAGGAGTTACCTATGTTACCTGTCGAAAAGTAAAAAAGTTATCCATCGTACTGTATTTCTTTTATTCATTGTACAGGAAATGGATGTACAACGGCATCTGCGTACACTTCTCTTATCACCTTAGCCGTGTTAAAAGAGGAGTCGACACTTCTTTATTTCTCTGCGCTAACATTTGCGTTTACAAGAACTTTAATGGAGGGATGAGTTCCTGCGCCTCTTTTTCGATATGATGGGCTATACTCGATGTCCTCGATGCCGCACTGATCTGGGCATCGATCTCTCTCCTTAGACAGACTCCTCTGGTGCCAGTCCTCAGTCTGCCATACGCTGAGGAAATGAACGTTCCCCGATCGTTCTGTTCACGCACTCAATGGCAGATTCAAATTTCGCCAATCTATACTCTTTACTGCAGTCTAATTCGTTCTTGTCCTTTGTATTTCTAGTATATCTCTAAGGGGTTACCTACGCTACTCCACGTCCCTTCTGCGATCGACAGTACTTTGGTGATATTTCAGCACAGCATAGGGATCATACCTATAATACCCTCTCCAACCATTAGCAGGCCACGGTTATCAGACGGTCTAGTCATCAGCCGATACTGTTGCCTCAGCTGATGTCTAAGCTGGAAGGCAGGTGGAATCCCCTTTCATTAACAAGCAGCCCAGTTACAGCGTGAACAGAAATCGGTATCCTATGATCCTATAGACCTGGAGTGGGAGGTCTGTTCGCCTTCACCAGCCTCGGACTGTTGCCATATGTAGATCCCCACACACCGACCTGACCTGACTTCTTTCCTCTTCCGTGTACCTGTCCTTACCTGCTCACTGTGTTTCTTAGCCCGTTCGTTTTTTTCCCACGTCACCTATTGGACAATCTTTCTTTTGCAAGCTGGTTGAAACCCTAATTATGTTATTAAATTCATTTTTGATCCCCAGCCTTCGGTGTTTCCCTCTCTTACTCCACGTCACTCGTATGTAACTATTTTTTTCATTATTATTTCCTTTTACTTTTTACTTTTCTTTACCCTTTTATTCTGTTTTCACTTCATCATATGAACATGAAATCCAGAACAATCCTGAAACTGTTCTCTCTCTCCATTAAACCTATTTTCTCTTTAGCTTTTTTAAAATATATCCTCAGCACGGAGAATCTTTACTATTTACTTATATACAATGTATATAACTGTCACATATACACACAGATATGTATGTGCATGTAAGTATATATGTATATATATACACATATATATATGTATACATACACACACACACACACACACATACATACATATATATATATATATATATATATATATATATATATATATATATATATATATATATATATATATATATATATCTGTGTGTGTGTGTGTGTGTGTGTGTATGTGTGTGTGTGTGTGTGTGTGTGTGTGTGTGTGTGTGTGTGTGTGTGTGTGTGTGTATAATATATGTGTGTGTGTATATATATAATGTGTGTGTGTGTGTGTGTGTGTGTGTGTGTGTGTGTGTGTGTGTGTGTGTGTGTGTGTGTGTGTGTGTGCGCGCGCGTGTGTGTGTTTGTGTGTGTGTGTGTCTAAATGTATGTATGCAGTCTTGGATTATAAATAGATTGAAAGTATTTATGTTATCACCTCATGCATCTGTTTAGTTCACATAAGATACGAAGAAATAGCAATATCATTTTCATACGCAGATTGGACAACTTAGACATATATCTACATAAAATTAGATACCTAATAACAGTCTCTCCGAGGATTTAAAAACAGATAATTCTAACTATCTAAACCGATAAAATCCGGACTGATACCGGATTCACGGATTCACACGCATGCCGCTGGTTCACGAACGCAGATCAGTCGACGTAAACAACTCGCCCTTAGTGAAGACTGCCTGGATTTTCCCTAATTGACTGTAGAAAAAGAGAGTTTGCGCCATTTTAAGGGAATAATGGGGAATGGGAACAGTTCTTTTACTCAGCTGGAGGTGGATCGTGATCGAGGAGGGGTGAGTGCGAGTGCTGTTCGTTGTTATTTTTGTTATTAATGGAAGATCTTTTGTTATTTTGAACTGTCAATTTCAAGGGGGAAATTTTTAATCATGTTATTTTATTTACGATGGAGGGTGTTATGTATAACGTGGGTTTTGTTATCATCTTTGTTATCTGTTGTTATTACCGTTCTATGGAGTCAAATTTCTTATTAATTAGTGTTATTAACAATTTAATATGAATTCGTATTTAGAGTAATGTGACAGGAAGGATGTTATGAGGAGTGTGATAAGGCCTTGCGATTACGTGGATCTGATTCGTTTAAGATCTTCTCTTCCACTGCATTTTGTTAGTTTTTAAAACACCTTTATTAGTTTTAATTAGAATAATACTCTCTGTATGTTATGTAATTACATTAAGTGTACATATAGAGGCTTTATGAATTAACCCTTTACTGTAAATATGTTTATGTATGTCAGTCATTGTTGCAAAGGAAGCAGATCACACTAATTTATCTAGTTTTATGCCATTTTTTATTTTGTTTCCAAATATATTGCCTTTTATTAAAGATAGTTAATTGGGTCAGGGTAAGATAGACACACCCCTTTCAGCTTGAGATAGTGACAGCTGTTCACTTTTTGATGTACTTGTAGTTGAAATACTGCTGATTCATGAAATAAACAAGGTGTTTATATATAGGGAATTTAATATATGCCTATTTACTTTATAATTCCTACATTTTATGATATATCTGATACTTTCTGGGATGTTCTAATTATTGTATAGTGGATAAAGCTATTCAGATGTATTTTTTCTTATGGATTTAGTTGAAGTTTATGTATATTATATGTACTGGGCTTATCATAAGCATTAGGCCTAGGTGCAAATTATGTCATAAGTAAAAATTAGTGATGATTAAAGAAAATGCCAAAACAAAGAAGTATGATAAACAACAGTAAGGATATTTCAGAAAGAACTTGATCATGCAAATAGTATGATCTTCAGATTTTTTTCTTCTTCTTTTCAGCAGAAGGAAATTAGAGAACAAACAGTATATTCAAGTCTTAGGTGTTACACATTTGAGCCAAAGCCACTTAGTAAATTTGTAAACAGATATTTCATGATATCTATAGGGAAAAAAATGTATCTTAAAAGGGAAAGAAGACCTTGTTAATATATTACTTAGCTTAATATTTGGTTCTATTACATCCTTTTCAAATCTGTATTATGATTTTTTTATGATCTTTTATGTGTAGCAAGTACTGGAAAGCAAACAGAAAACACTCATGAGAATCCATGGTTATTATAACATCATTTATATGAAGCAGATGTATTATTTAAGGAAGTAATATTATTACTATAGACAAGCAATGTATTAGTGATTTTTTTAAGTCAAGTTCAGAATGTCCTAATACAAGATTTTTTTTTTCCCTTTTCTTTTAAGCAAAAACAGTATTCTAAACCAAACCTTACTAAGCAAAATATGTATGTACATTTGCCTCTGTATGTGCATATCCTTAAAACCTCAAGCATCCATTCTTATATCCACAGGTATATGAAGACTGGACAATGGCCCCAGGAGAATTGGGAGATGTTCCTGTGACAGTATTCTCAGCTGCCCATCCTCCAAGTTCCAGAAAGAGACCATATATTGAAAGGGCATTACAGGTGTGTGGGGATGATGAGTGGTTGGGTGAATGAATGGGTGGGAGGATATGCAGAGGGGGAGGGAGTGGGGTTAGGCTTGTAATTGTAAGTGTATAATTTATTTTATTATATGTCTATGCATTGTTTATATGTAGTTACATATACCAAAATGTGATATATCCTTATGTATGTATTAGGAACATTTACATTGATATTTAGTATATTCCAACATATTGGTCATAATAATATTCACAAATGTATCACGTATCCACAGGCCAGTCGTGTATACAGACATCCAGGACTGTTGAAGTACATCGATGGTGGTATTATAGGGGAAGTTGTTGTAATAACCGAAAGAGCGAAACCACTGCTACACCATGACTTGGATCAGATGTCACCACTTCACATCTCAGCTGGATTGTTGTCCATTATAGATACTCTGGTTTTTCTTCATGATAGGGTAATGTGATGTTAATGGGCAAATCACTTTGGGATTTTT